TGCCGATCTATCTCAATTCGTTTAGACACTAGAGTGGTTACAACAGACAGACAGACGGACAGATAGACGGACAGACGGACATGGCTATATCGTTATAGAATTTTACGCTGATCAAGAATATATATACTTTATAGGGTCGGAAATGATTATTTCGAGGAGTTACAAACGGAAAAACAAAATTAATATATCCTACATACTATGGTGGAGGGTATAAAAATACTGAAATATACAGGGTATTTTTATTTCCCATACATTAGATAACACCTAATCCTCTTCATCCTAAAAATGCCGAAAATCGGTTGGTACAGTTATATAACCATACTAGGATGTCCTGTTATAGAATTCGAGAACGTTTTCTCATATAATTCTAGTCTGCAATAACAATAATTATCCCACAAGGCCAGGAGATATTTCTACTGAAAATCATACACCCTTAAAGAAGAACAAGAGCTATTTTCATATAAAACCAAGGGTCTAATTATATTACAGGAACATATGTTTGAAAAGTTTTCTTATAGAAGGCCAGACAGTTTCCTTAGATATTTCTCAAACAAGAAAACACTTCGTTAAGTTCGGCCACGCCAAGCTTTTTATACCCTTCACCACGTGGTGTTCATTCGAAATTTCTCAAATTGGTCGAAACATTTATATACAGACTATGTTATAGCATTATGTGAAAAAATTATGTTCCAAATTACAGGCACTTCGGTTGAAAAACATTCCGCCAATTAAACGATACATTTATATGGAGACTACTTAAAGAAGTATTTATTTACCAGGAAACCGATATGCCAAGAATAGACTTTACGACGAAAAAGTTCGGTTAATAAAATAATAATACCGAAAATGAAATGGAGCTATGTCAAAACTTGGTCCGATATATACAACATTGTATTTTACCCTAAAATATCCAAAAACAATTACTACAATGTAAAAATGCGGCTATAAGTTTCTGACATCTCCATTGTCAGTATATGGGGGCTATATCAAAATATGGACCTATATTGATAATTTTCAGTATATACATTGCAACATTCAAGAACCCTTTATACCAACTTACAGCTGTATCGAGACAGACAGACATACGGTCATGGTCATCGACACAAAATGTTATTCGGATCAAGAATATATATACTTAATGAGTTCTCAGGTCAATATTTCGAGGTGTTGCAAACGGAATTACAAATTTTATATCAACTTCACCTGGTGTAAGTTATAACAATTCTTCTGGGAAAGTTTAGAAGATCTTTATATAGATTCTTCATAAAGAAGACAAGAATATCTTATTTTATAAGACCTGAAGAACTTATTATGAAGGACGTATTCTTATAAATGACCTGAAGGACTTCTAATAAAATACATGAAGGGTTTTACATAGAAAGGAGAGATAAACTCCTAGTCGCTTTTCTCATAAAAAACCGAATTACCTCTTTAGAAGACCAAAAACCGAAGACCATTGCGCCAGAATATTCAATTTTTCTCTCCCTCTCTCTCTCTCTCTCTCTCTCATGAAGAAAGTTCGCTTGTAGAAGTCTCAAAAATCTTCATTCATAAGACCTGGAAGACCAAATATTTAAACTAACATAACCCCCAAATACAAGTCCCGAAGGATTTTTCGTATATATTTTGAATGTTCACCTCATGGACATGGACATGGACATGGACAAAAGACACATTCCTTTTTTTTTTTGTTTTGTCACGCCTTTTTAAAATACAAAGTTCAGTTTTTGTGTGGATCGGAATCATGAAGCTATAAATTTTCGAATTCAAAGCGACTTCAATGAGAAAATTTCACTAAATCCTTAAAAATTCTTAAAAAAATGGCGGGTGAAACATGGTCATTTTTCTGCAAAAATATTTGTCAGCCTCCTACCACCTTTCAGTGTTAACGTTTTGGACATTTCGGGCCAAGTTTGGTGCAAAAAAAAACATATAAATTTTCAACTTGGCCCAAGGGTTGCCTACTTTGGTCAATTTTCAAGCTAATAATTTAAAAGAATTGCGCTTGAATGTTAATTCGAAATTCTGATGTTGTTCTCTTTTTACGTGCATTTAGGTCCGCTTTTCCTTTTCGAACGGCAACACTGGACCCTTTATTTTGAAAATGCGGAAAACCCCTTCCAAATACATTCTTATATTAGGGCTATGTAAAACATGTAGCAACTTCGGCCGATGTTGTGCGGTAAAATTCAGGGCTATGTCAAAACAGGAACCTCTTTTCCTAGAAACTCGAATAACAAATTATAGACCTATTGGATGGAAAATGCGTATAAAACCTTCTAAATGCGGAGAATAGGACAACTTCTTTATGCAGCACATAAACCTACCTTCCTCCGATGAATTGTTAGAACATGCGACGTATGAAAAAATATTGGAAACAATAAAATAAAATTGAAAACTTATGTGAAATCGTGAAAGAATTAAAATTTGGGGTATAAACTCATATGAAACTAAACCTAACATGGACCGATATATCCCATTTCCGATACAAAATATCATAGGAGCGATAAGAAAAGCTGCAACATTTGAAAATGTATTGCGAGCTCTTTCGTGTCAGACATGGCTAGATCGACATATAATTTGATTCTTATTGTGGATGACATAAAATGCAACTACTTCCACAGACTTTATGCAGATGCAGCTTAGTGTGAGGTCCTGTATCACTTGCTTGGCAGACGATCTGCACATTGTCACAAATCCGCGACCACTACAGCGTTGCCCACATTCGACGGACCCATGTTTTTTTTAAATCAAAGAAAAAAATTAAAATTTGGCGGTTAGCAATGTTAATCATTTAATTTGTTCCAAGTAGATTTGTTTACATCAATTTTTGAATATGATATCTCTCAAATGGTCGCCTCTGGCGTTGATGACTTATTGTGCTGCATTTTCCATCGTTTTTGCCAACATTTCGGCCGGAATAGCGGCTATTTCTTCACGCATATTGTCCTTGAGCTCTTCTACGGTCCTTGGCTTGTTAACGTAAACCTTTGACTTTAAATATCCCCACAAGAAGAAGTCAGGCGGCGTCAAATCGGGCGAACGCGGTGGCCAGTCCAAATCACCACTTTTCGACATCAAAGGGGCGCGAACAATTTCTTCAGAAAATTGATTATTATGCGACTTGTGTGCGATGGTGCGCCGTCTTGTGGAAACCAGAACTGCCTCATACGCTTTCGACGAATAATTGGCATCACAAAATTGGTCATCATGTCGCGATAACGCTCCTGATTGATGGTAACAGCATGGCCATTTTTATTTTGGAAGAAAAACGGCCCAATGACCGTTTTTACACTAACGCCGCACCAAACTGTGACTTTTTCGTCATGAAGAGGCACTTCTTGAATTTCCCGAGGATTTTCATTGGCGTAAAAACGGCAATTTTGCTTATTTACGGTTCCATTTAATGTGAAATGGTCTTCATCGGACATGATAATTTTGTTCCAAAATTGCTCGTCATCTTCGGCCATTTCGATGACTCTTTCGGTCCATTCCAATCGAAGAGGCTTCTCCGCAGGCAACATTCTTTGCGTCAATTGAATTTTGTACGGGAACAAATGCAAATCAATGCGAATAATCCGTTGTAAAGTGGACCGAGCCATGCCCAACTGCTGAGAACGGCGTTTTTGGGATGTTCTTGGGGACCTCTCAACACTGGCTCGTACGGCAGCGATATTCTCGTCCGATCGCCTTGGTCGACTTTTATATGGCCTCTTTGGATTAGAAAGAGCCTTACCAGTCGAAAATTTTTCATATAAACGCGTAATGGTGTTCTTTAGATGGCGCACTTCTCACATTTTTTAATGTTTTAAAAACACGTTGAGTTTCCACAATTGACTTCTTCTGTTGAATGTAAATTTCAACTATTTCAGAGCGCTCGCGTGGCGTGTATTATTGGTTCATGGTAAAAATCTGCTTAGACTGACGCTTCAAACGCGGTAGGTCATTAAGCGATGTGACATCTCTGTCAAAAGTTATGGCGTTGCCAGATGGGTCCGTCGGATATGGGCAACCCTGTAGTTCACAATTATCCCTTACCTAGATAAACGACGCTCATCAGTGTGAATACTATTCAGACAGGTTTTATTTGCTTATTAAACCAGAGGCTTTATTTAGATAGAGATGCCCAGACGATTTAGACATTCTGGCCAATGTGGCCCCAATAATGTTGTGCATCGTTTGTGGTCCGAACTTTTTGTCTATCGACATGTACGTGCCGTCGCATTCTCATATCCGCAATCTACGTGTAATCGTATATTTAGTGACGATTAAATTGCCACGATACCGAATTGTCCCGAAAGAGGAAATTTTATGTGTCATATACATACGAAAATAAGCGCAACTATATATGTGTAAGTGTGTAAGCGATATTCATCTGTATTTTTTACACCACATTATATCTATATAGCGAACAATTCTGCACCATTAACTCAAAAAGTCCTTTTCGAATAGGGAAATAGATACCCATTGAGTTATTTCTTTAATTTAATTTTATTTCTAGATTTGCGTAATTATAGGCTATAAATAAAATTATTTTTAAATTATCAACTTCTGGATATTAATTACTGAATTCTACAATATTTTCATATTTATATTTTAAGAATTTTTTGAATAAAAATATATATAAAAAAATATATTAAATTTTTATAAAATTTCCAACAAACGTTAAATGTATAATTATGTGTATAAAAATATATACAAATGAATGAGAACGAAATACTACTTGTGAATCCCTCAAAATCCCCCTGGAACCATCATAATCCCAGAAAAATCCCCACAAACTATTTGTCTTACAAAACAAAAAATGCCTATCAACTTTGTTGTGAAGAAGAAAGAGAGGATGTATGCCGCAACTTTGAAACCTTGAACCCATCCAATGTAAAAGAAAACCAACTCCTTGTGATGACAAATTGTCCCAACCTAACAGAAAATCAACGATTTGTCGATAATCTACAAAAACCAATTTTTGTGTCACATCTCTTCCTACCACCTCATTACAGCCACTTTGCGTGATGATCTGGCCTGGCGGCAACAAAGAAGTCTCAATGAACGCGATCTGTTAAGTGTCAGCAGTTCGTATGGCCCTGACTATCGTTTGACGAGCAGCAATCGTTTGTATTCGTCGGCAGATCGAGATCGTTACGAATTGCATCGTGAAAGACTGGAAAAATATCCTTTAACGCGCACGGCACGTTTAGACGTCCAACAACGGAACACATTTAATCGCACAAATCACGATCGGTCGTCGACAGCAGCGGCGGCGGCGGCCTCTTCGCTTTACGGTCCCCTGGGACCCAGTAGTAAAATACGAGATATCGGCTCAGACATACTGTATGGGGGAGTGAGCGCCAGGCGAGCACCACCCTTGGCTGCGGCGGCCCAACGTAGTAGCGCCGCCAGCAGCTATTTGCACAAACAACAACAACAACACCCACAAATTGTGATCGGCGATACGCCATTAAGCGCTAAGACATCGGCCACATCCTCAGCATCACTGTATGAACGTTATATGGGTAGTAGTAGTGGAACCAGTGGTGTTGGCGGCACAGCCATGACATCTTCTTTAAGCACAACTGATGGGGCCACACGTAGTTTAAGTCGCGATCGTAGTCTAGTCGATAGCTATTGGGATGAATCTGCAGCTACGCCAAGCTCTGTATTGTCGTCGAATAAAGCTCAGGACTCCCGACGCTTTACAGAGCGTAGAATAAAGAAGACGGTACGCTTCGATTCGCATGACATTGACAATACGGCATCGGGCGCCGACACGGGACTGCATGTCGGCAGCACCTCTTTGCCACCGGTGACCACAATACTACCCTCAACGGCGGTTGAGGTGGGTGCGGCCACCATTTTGACCAGTGCTAAATTGCACAATGCCCAACACTCCATGTCTTCTTCTGCTTCCTCTGCTACAAACACTGCCACAAATCTGCTAAACGATACAACAACAGCAGCATCAGCTTCCACAAATGCCAATCACTGGTCCCGCTGGGACAACGAGCGACAAGGTAGTCAGGATTCGGCCACAAAAGATTCGGGCATCGATACCAGCAGTACCTTTACCAGCAGTGAAGATTCGAATCGTGGTGATGGTCCTAAGGTAGCTACAAAAACCAAAAAACAAAAAACGAAATTGTAAAAAATGTGAAAAAAATGTTGCGAAATGTGAATGAGAATATCAGAGAAAACTGTGATTTTGTGTCCTCCTATCTTGTGGAAATGAATTGTGTTTTTTTTCTGTTTTAAAATTTTCTTTTTGTTGTAATCTATTACCTAGAGCAAAAAAAAAAAACGACAACAAAAATACCCTATTTTGTGATAATGTCCAAATCTGAAGAATGGCTCATTTATATATTTTCTTGTATTATAATTTCCAATGACAAACAAGTCTTTATTATGAACAATTATGATTTTTATTTTTCTACCAAAAAAATTAATAAAACAAAAATTCATTATTTTTTATATAAATTATTTGATTTGTACATAAAAGTCCCAAATACTTTCTTTTCGATTTCTAAGTTTTTATTTCCAACTATCTCTTTCCCACTATGTATAACTTACCACGTGAAACATTTAACACAACATATCTCTACACATACAAATAAATCTATATTGAAATACTTACTATATATATACAAACATATATAATTTATTACAAAACGTAAATGTAAGCTTTTATTGTTCTAGCTAATATCTGCATGTCTGTCCATATTTAGATAAATATTTGTCGTCCAGCACCTGTACCTCAATATATGCACCAGCACAATGTTTTACATATTCTATTAAATTTTATTTTTATTTCCAATTGGAAAATGGAATTAATTTATTTTCAATCATATTTAAGACTCAACATCGATACGATTGGAGTCAGGCACTTCTAAAGCAAAACCAGAATTACAAAATATGCTCAAATACTGAAAATTAAATTTGAATATGGACTTGAGAAAACCGGAATTTCTATTGTACGAATAGTGCCTAATGTTCGCCAAGGGAATGACTAACGTCTTATGACTAAACTTTAGTCTCTGGCTATTAAGTTAATTCGTTTTAGTTCAACTGTTCATTGGTACTTACTTAGCAGGATTGTGACAGAATTTTTGTTCCATAAGCCGATCCTAAACCAGTAAGGAAAGTAGTAAAGTCGGACTGGGCCGACTATATGATACCCTTCACCACTTTGAGCATATTGTACATATGTATACTTACAATTGCATATTAATGTTCCCTCGAAGGAACATGCCAAAATTTGGTGGACCATTTACATTAATTAGGACGAAAATATATATATATGGGAGCTATATCTAAATCTGGACCGATTTTCAGGAAACTTAACACACATCATTCTAGACCTAATTTATTACGCTATGCCACATTTCGTACAAATCGAAAGATATATAGGGTATTTGGTGGATCATTTACATTAAATCGGACGAAAATATATATGGGAGCTATATCTAAATCTGGACCGATTTTCAGGAAACTTAACACACATCATTCTAGACCTATTTCAGTACGCTGTGCCAAATTTCATGCAAATTAAAAAATAAATAGGGACTTAAGTACACCATTTACATTAAATCGGACGAAAATATATATGGGAACTATACCTAAATCTGAATCGATTTTCACGAAACTTAGCACACATCATTCTGGACCTAATTCAGTACTCTGTGCCAAAATTCGTGCAAATCTAAAGATATATAGGGACTTGAGTACACCATTTACCTTAAATCGGACGAAACTATATATGGGAGCTATATCTAAATCTGCACCGATTTTCTCGCAAATTAGCACGCATCATTCTGGAACTAATTCAGTACGCTATGCCAAATTTCGTGCAAATCGAAACATATATAGGGACTTTGGTGCCCCATTTACATTAAATCGGACGAAAATATATATGGGAGCTATATCTAACTCTGAACCGATTTTCATGAAACTTAGCACACATCATTCTGGACCTAATTCAGTACTCTGTGCCAAAATTCGTGCAAATTAAAAAATATATAGGGACTTAAGTACACCATTTACCTTAAATCGAACGAAACTATATATGGGAGCTATATCTAAATCTGAACCGATTTTTCCCAATTTCAATCGGGTTCGTCCTTTGGCCAAATAAGTGAGCTGCGCCAAATTTCATCCAATTCGGATAATAAATGCGACCTGTACTTTGTTTACAATTTAACATGGACAGACAGACGGAGGGACGGACCGACATGCATAAATGGACTCAGAAAGTGATTCTATGCATATTCTCAAAAGGAACCATGTGTCTATCTCGTTTCCTTTTGCCTGTTACAAACATATGCACAAAGACATAATACCCTGTACCACAGTGTGGTGAAGGGTATAAAAAGATTTCCAGGCGCGTCGGTCTTGTACGCAGTTCATCAACAATTTGAAGGCCACGTTCCGATATATAGTCTTCCACTTGATCTTTCCATTGAATTCTCTGTTAGGAACCAGAGTTGGGCAAAGAAATTGAACTAGGCCATTATGTTAGTTCGTTTTAGTACAATTGTTAATTGGTACTTACTTATCTATCTGGCTTGTGACCGAATGTTTGTTCCATAAGCCGATTTTAAAGATGTTTTGCAGGAGCGTCGGTCTTGTGCACACCTTATCCAATTTGAATGACCATGTTCCGGGATGTTGACTTCCCCTCAATCTTTGCATTGAATTCGTGGCCATCTCCTTCTGAGCTGGGGCATCCTCATCCATTCTCACAACATGACCTAGCCAACGTAGTCGATACGTCTGACTATGTCGAAGAATAGGTGGTACAGCTCATGATTCATTCGGCGGTGATATTCACCGTCGGCCCAGAACATACTCGGCTCACTCCGGAAAATGAACTAAGCCATTTAAAAGGAACTAAGTGCAAACTTAACTATTGAACTGACTTCAGTTAACTCGGTCAATGAACGGGGAGAACTAGATTGGATCAAAAGGAACTAGGTGATCGAAAGGAAAAAAAAAATGACTGCAGGAAAAGGAACTAGATTAACCTAAGAACCACAACTAGTAAATAGTCTTGGACAATCTAGATCAGATCAGTGATCGAACGAACTTGATCATTTTTTTTAAAAAGGTCGTCCACCTGGTTCAAATGTATGGCACAATAAATAGGTAGTCTATTTAGCGCAGCTGATGTCTCGATTAACTGTCAAAGTGCATAATTTCTACTTGAATTCGATAAGCAATGTTGCAAACCATGTGAAATATTATAAGGAAAAAATTTGACAGATGGTCGAGAAAAAACAAAGGTTTTTCTTGTGATACATCTCCTTATTATTGTATCATGGTTCAAATGGTTACTCAATTCAATTGGCATGGCAGCGCATTCCAATTAAGTTCTGCCGGTTCAACCAACCGTAAAGAACGATGACCTTTCACAATCATTCGAAGAAATGTCCTATATATTTTCTCCACTTTTTAATGGATGGTGATCGATGGCATAACTCCGTTATATTCGGCTGCGCACTTGTTTGCCCTGCAGTTGTTGCTCCGGACAGCTTTGTATCTTTGCCGTGGTTTCCAGCTCAACGGTTGTCCATTTTGGGGGGTGCTTCGCATTTTAAAATGTCGCTTGATATTTTTTACTGACCCTCCAGCTATACGTAAAACACTACTGCAGCATTTGATCTTTTAAGCACCGCATTCCATGAAATGGGACAATATATTAACAGATTTTATGTGAAATTGTTCATATTTGACGCCGTTCTGTTGGTCAGTGCCCCTGTGAACAACACTGAAGGTGTAGAAGAAAATACAATGTCGTTCAGTGACCGACGGCATTAATTGAGCAAAGTCGTTCAGTGAGCAACATCGTTCGAGAACAACAGTGAATAATAAAAGCTGAACCATGTCGTTCACTCGTTCAGTGGACTGACTTGTTCAATTGAACTAGGTCGTACACGAACGACAAAAGACTACTAGTACCGATCGTTCCTTTTCCAAAATTGTTTAATTGAACTTATTCAGTACGAAACGATCCAACGCCAATTGATGTTGTCTGTTTTGTGGTTCGAAGGCAACTCATTTCAGTCACAGTTACTTGTTATCTCAAGACCTTAGAATAAAACCACGCATGCATTCAAACTGGGAACTGCGACACGCATGCCACACTTCTGGGAACTGAAAGGAATATTAAGGGTTTCCGAAAAAAATTTTACTTTATTTCAGTCTATGAAAATTGTAAATATATTTTTAAAATTCGAGATCCGATTAACAATTTAAAATAATTTAATTCCATTCACCATTTTTGCATGATTATTTAAAATTTATTTTTCGATATTTCATAATTTTTTCACTGCACATAAAATTCATGGCTCATATATTGATATTTTTCAATTTAATGTCTTTTGTAAACAATAAAAAAAGTTTCAACTACGTATGTGTTCTCTGCCAAAGATGTGCGTTTGTTTAACTGAATATTTCATAAAATTTATAAAAACAACAATTACAACTTTCTTGGTGTAAGCCTGGAAACAAAAAAACTTTACTCTAGATTAAGCTTTGTTTTCTATATACCTATCAACTGGAAGAAAAAATTACAGCTATAATGTTAATGAATCTACCAGCTATCTCTACCAAAACTAAGTTCGACTTGTGTATAAAAAATATTTTTTTTATTTAATGTTTTAATTTTGCAAGGATTTACTAACCCTGTGAAGACTATATTTTTTTGTGATTTAAATTATGTTATGGTTTTGTTTTTAATTTTAAGAAAAAAAAATAATAATAAAAAAGCAACCAAAGCGTCTTTGTCAACAACATATTTATAATCAAAATTTATCATATTCCCCCTCCCAAATATGTATTTTATAAAAAAAACAAATTGCAAAAAAAAAAATTATGCACTTTTGCAATTTCATCTATGACCCCCCGAATTCCCCAAAAACCAAAAATTCGTTCCCATCATCGACCAACCAAAAATTCAAAAAAATACTTTGTGCACCTCCCACTCCTCGCCCCAAAACCGAAAACAAAACGAATATATATAGCAACCGGTGAATTGGCAAATATCGGCGGATAATGCTCGCATGATTGGTCATATGATATTAAGAAAATACTATGATGGCGAAGATATTTTAGGCTTAAAAGTTCTGGGTGGCCAACCTTTACCATATGCTAATAATAGTCAAGCCGTTGGCGTTGCTGGTGGTAATAATGGAGATGGTGTTGGCGGTGGTGCTGCTGCGGCTGTAAATTATGGTGCCATTGTGGAGAAAGTTAAACGTGGCTCGGTGGCCGATACTGAGGGTCACATACAACCAGGTAATGTCAACACAAACAACAACTGGCAAAGCAACAGCACAAGTCCTAAACGAAAAAATGTTTTCTATTATTTTTTTTTTCTCATCCCTTCCCTCCACATTCAATAAATGCTACCCCGACGCATTGCACGTATCAACCGACTCATCTGCAACTTTCGCATGGCATAGGCGATGAAATTGTCAAATGGAATGGCCATATTTTACAAAATAAAACCGCCGACGAAGTCTATGATATTATTGATGAAAGCCGTTTGGATGCCCAAGTTGAATTGGTGGTCTCACGGCCCATTAATGCTTCCACATCGTCAGCGTCAACAACAGCGGCCGCCTCGGCCATCGGCGGCAATCTGTCCTCCACTTCAGTGCCAAATTCGATTAATGCAACGACGGTCTCGTCAACGGTTACGCCGTCAATACGTAAAGTACCAAGCAGTACCCTGGCTAGTTACATAGCCGGTAGTGCTGTGGTCAGCAGCGGCGGCCGTTATGTTCAACGAAAAGGTATTTAAATATATGTGTCTGTGTGTGATATAATAATGATAATGTGTGTATGTGTGTGTTTAAAAGAGTATGGGGGTTAAGAATGGCAAACGGGTTATGTATCGGAGGGAAATTCTTGAAAATTGCATTCAAAGAAAAAATTCAATATTTTATCTAAATTATATACACTTTATATACAGTGTATATCAAATTTCATCGTCTTTATCTATTTTTTGATTTTTTTCTGAATCGTTTGTGAAAACCATGCTTTATCACCTTAAATACGTACTACACTAGAAAACATAATGCTACGAATACCTACATGTATTATCTGCGTTCAAACCTGAAGTAATTTAAAAACAAAATTAAAACGATTCGATTACTGACATCCAAATATCTTGAGATAATTTAAATTCCAATTGAACATTGATTTGTTCATTGAAACCTCAATCCAGAAGCGGTTCGCTTTGCAAAAGGTTATATAGTTCCATTAAGTTCAATTACAAAATTTTGGTCAATTTTGTTCTTGAAGCGGTTCGCTTCGAAAAGGGTTCTATAGTTTCATTTACTTTCTTTTATTTCAATCACTTTAATTGAGTCAGTGAACGGGAAGATCTAGATGAACGATTGAATTAAAAACATCTAAGTGAACGAGGCAAAAAAGGAACGATTGAAGAAAAATTAACCAGACGAACGAATGAACCGGGTCTAGTTCCAATAGTTATTTTTGCTTGCAGATCAATTCAAGTCTACATAAAATTAATGGTTAAAATCTTTGTTATAGAAGTTTGTCAACAGAATGCCCAGTCTACAGTACAGCCAAGAGAAGAGGGCACATAAAACCGTTACTGTACAGATGGACTCATATATAGCTCTTCAAAATATGTTGTCAGTATCATATGATACTGATTAATGAATCGAAAGGAACTAAGTGAACGAGGCAAAAAGGAACGACTGAAGCAAAATGAACTAGACGAACGAATGAACCGGGTCTAGTTCCAATAGTTCTTTTTGCTTGCAGAATGATTCAAGTCTACATAAAATTAATGGTTAAAATCATTGTTCTAGAAGTTTGTCAACAGAAGGCCCAGTATACATTACAGCCAAGAGAAGAGGGCACATAAAACCGTTACTGCACTGATGAACTCATATATATCTGTTCAAAATATGTTGTCAGTATCATATGATACAGATTAATGAATATTTTCCGAGGGTTTTGTTCCGGTTCCATACATTTAGTTTTATAATTCATGTTAGTCCAATCGTTCACTGATAACTTCATTTGAACTAGTTCATTTCGAAATGACTCAAATCTCTCGCTCTGCAAAATGAACGAAAATATCAAGATTAACGATTTGATCAAAAGGAAGCTCGTAAACGAGGGCAAAATTAACGACTGGAGCAAAATTAGCAAGAGTAACGAAAGAACGGGCCCAAGGTACCGATCGCTCCTTTTGCTGAATACTTCATTTGACCTAGTTCGTTTCGAAACGACTCAAACCTCTCGCTTCGCAAAGGGAACTAGTACATTCATTTAGTTCAATCGTTCATTGCTAATTAGAGCAATGAATGGAAAGATCTAAATGAACGATTAGATCAAAAGGAACCCGATTAATTAAAAGAAAACTGGATCAAAATGAATTACTATGTTCATTAATTCAATCGTTAATTGGTAATTCGAGTTATAAATTTTCAAAAAAAAAAACTGTTTATAAATAGTATCGCTCTATATTAAGTACAGTGCTAATATTCTTAGTTTTTTCCTAAAATGGTTCAGGGAGCGGATCGATATTTCTCATTCCTTTTATAGAAAGGAACTAGTTCCTTCGCTTCATAGAGTTGTGACCCCTTGATAGTTCGTTTGAATCTCTCTCCCTTTAAACGATGTTTTTATCACATATTTCAGAGAGTTCCGTATTGATTCGTTTGTGGGTACAAAAGGGAAAACCACCACTGAAAAATTAACGAGAAATAATAAAAACCTGTGAGCGGAGCAGTATAGTCGGACGGGGCCGACCATATGATATCCTACACAACTTCCACGAAAAACTAACTTTCTGTGGATCTATATTCTGAGCAATATTGGGCAATATTTCGCGATATTTGAACCATCAGGACCAACTAGAGGCAGACAATTATTACTAATGTTCAGTACAGCCCTTCTAATTACTTGCCCAGATTCCCTTCCCTTGTGTTGTGATCTTCTTGTTCCTATTGGAGCCTAAAGATGATGTGGACCGAAAATTAAGTTTTCGGTCCACTGATCGTCACCGAAAATTATAGGCGTTATCCGTGACCATAACTGGAACTTCATGGAACATTTTAAAGCGATCAGCGCTATTTATCCGCCCGCTAGTGTGGTAAAGGGTTACTAAATAATATCTGAATACATAAGCACCTGTAAATATTTAAGTGTAACTCCCACATATGGGTACATACGAACATATAATTGATATCAATTTAAAGGTCAACCACTGCCCTTGGATATACCAACAACTTTTCGGGTCTATGTCCTTCAGGGGTGAATCAATATGCTATACAATACAAATTTTGTAATTTTTCACACAAAAGTCAGGGTCCATTTGATCCGCTAAATATTGACCTATCCATATCAAAACAGGCATGCTTATACTTTGGCCCGATCCCCTTCTCTATGTAAAAATTCACGATGTTTGGGTCATAATTGCGGCATCAAGAGCGACCAGAAAAAAACGATAACAATTAAGTATTTGGTCCATTTCATCCCCTTGATATTAACCGATCTTTACCAAAAACAATAGGGGTCTTCATTGGCCAGAACCCATCCTACATGCAAAATTTCGTGAAGATTGGTCCATAACTGTGGCATGTACCGTGTTTACAAAATATAATGGACAGACGGACGGACACACATGTCTAGATCGACTCAGCTAGTCGAGATATGACGATCGGTATACTTAAAGGGGCTGCACAAAGCTATAATACCCTGACAACATAGTTGTGTAGGGTATAAATATAGAATTAAAAGAACAAGAACAGAAAAAGGAACTAGATATACTGAAGAAAGTCTACTAACTAAGGAGCTGTACTTAATTCCGATAGTTTGTTTGGAATAGTTCCAATGAACGAGTGTGTTCCAGACAGTCGACTTCGATTCTATTTAAGTGATAGAAAAAGACTTCAGCCAGCATTCGATTTCTATTTAAGTGATAGAAAAAGACTTCAGAGTCGAGCTACTGTAGCCAAAGTGAACGTCGGATTCTGTATCCAAATATGTGATGAAAAATTATATTATGTTAATTTTAGACACCACAAAGTACTCTCTCACTTCGGCCAGGGAAAAAATTTCTGCCTCGATTCCGGCCTGGTGTAAAAAAACATTTTTCTTAATTATTCCCTACACAATTATGTTGTCCGGCATTATATAAAATTATATAAAAATATTATCCTCATTACCCAATGACATAAAAGTCGTTCCTACATTTTTTCACATATTCGAATAATGTTATCATCCAACCTATTTCATATAAACATTTAATCAAAAATATTTCATATATAGAAACTATGATTATTACTCAATTACTGGAATACGCAAGAATTCAGAATTAGGGGGACTTTTGGGGGAGATTTATGTCATTTTTTATTGAAAAAAAACAGAAAAAATTGCCACAGCTGATGAAGAAAAAAATATTCGAACGAGATATATAAATGCCTCAAAACAAAATCTCAAATACTGGCACCTATTGAATATAATAAATATTCAGTTAGAGTACACAATACATACATAAATAGTAGTTATTTTTATTTTAGTACACATGTATTTAGTTTAGCTAATTTCAAAACAAAACAAAAATTAATATCCCACTATATTTTATTCGTCTTTTTTCCTTTTGCCAAAATTCACCATTGTGCAACGTTGAATACCAACCAAACTCCACATCATTACCTCACCATCTGCCACAACATCACCAACCAATCAAACCAACCAGCACCCTTAGTTGATGATATAGAAGTTCATCGTGATAAGCCGAGTGTACTTATAACCTCGCCTGGATCACCCGATTTTCATGCCAACAACAGTAGTGGCGGTAGTAGTAGTGGCGGCGGCGGCGTACTTAATCTAAGACATAGTGCGAATGTACGTTGCTACGAGACAGGCTCAACAACATCGGCAGCAGCAGCAGCTCAACAACGTTTGGGACCAAAACACTTTTCGAGTGCCGCCAGCACTAGCAGCAATCAATCGGTCAGTAGTTGCAGCAGCGGTAGCAGTAGTCACACATCCCACACAGCACCACCGCATCGACCACCGACAGCACCACCTACGTCAGCATCATCGATTCAAGGCGGAGCAGCAACTACGACGGCGGGCCATCATCATCACCATCATTGCCATCAAATACCACCACCGTCATCGCATTCGCCGTATACATATGGCTCAGGTTTGGGACCACACAACCAACCACATCAACAACAGCAACAACTCCTCCTTTTACAACAACAACAGCAGCAGCAGACGTTACCACACCATCTGCAACAGCAGCAGCTGCCGCCGCATCACGCCTCACTGGCAGGAGCTATGGTTGGACCCATACCCGCACACATTGAAGGTGAACTCCAGATGAAATTGGGCTACGATCAAACGTCATTACAGTTGATTGTAACGATTGTTTGTGCCAGCGGTTTGACGTTGCGTCAAACTGGTGCAGCCAGAAATCCTTATGCAAAAGTAAGTAATGTGGAATTTTGTTTGTTTTTCTCTCTTTCTCAGATCCCCTGACGTTCGCAAGTTTTCTATAGAACAAAATTCATCATCACAAAAATTTTCAGGCCTCCCGAGGATCTCCTTTTTTGTATAGAAACGAACATAAGATGGTCCTCATCGTCAGGTCACCACAGGATCACATTTTTTCTACAGAGCATCATTCTATTGTCCAAACAAACGAATCCCTGTAATATCACTTTTTCCTGTAGAAAAAATCGTCGTACAAATGACACCGAATTACTTTATCTACATCTACAAAATTGCCAGGTCCCCTGGTAACTACTTTATCTACAGAAAAAAAATTGTCAGGTCCTTTAAGGATTGCCTTTCTTCCTATAAAAAAAATCGTCGAAAGGTCCCCTGAGGGTTGCCCTTATTCCTATAGAAGAAAAATCGACGTTATGTCCCCGGAGGATTGCCTTTTTTCTATGAAAAAAAATCGTCGTAAGGTCCTCTTAGGCTTGCCTTTCTTCCTATAAAAAAATCGTCGTCAGGTCTCCTTAGGATTCCCTTTTTTCCATAGAAAACAATCGCCGTAAGGTCTTCTGAACATTGCATCTTTTCTATCAAAAAAATCGTCGTCTGGTCCCCTTACGATCCCCTTTTTTCCATAGAAAACAATCGCCGTAAGGTCCCCTTAGGATTCCTTTTTTTCCATAGAAAACGATCACTGTAAGATCATCTGAGGATTGCCTTTTTCTGTAGAAAAAAATCGTCGTAAGGTCACCTGAGGATTGCCTTTTTTTATCAAGTCCTCTGAGGATTATTTTTGTATTCATCAGGTCCCAGAGATGTATCCTTTTTCTATAGAAAAAAAAACGTCGTAAGGTCCCCTGTGGATTGCCTTTTTTCTATAGAAAAAATTCGTCAGATCCTCTGAGGATTATATGCTTATTATTTTATTCTATATACATGGACAGACAGACGGACAGACATGCATAAATCGACTTAGAAAGTGATTCTATGCATATTCTTAAAAGGAACCATGTGTCTATCTCGTTTCCTTTTGCCTGTTACAAACATATGCACAAAGACATAATACCCTGTACCACAGTGTGGTGAAGGGTATAAAAATCGACGGCAAGTCTGTAGGGTATTGCCTTTTTGTCCTATAGAAAAATATCGTCGTCAAGTCTCCTGATTATCTTCGTCAGGTAATCCTTATGTCCCCTTAGGATTACGTCTACGATTCGTCTTCTTCTTTTCCAAAAAAAATCTCCTGAGCATCTCCACTTTTTCTTTAGAACAAAAAGGATCCCCTGTTGATCACCTTTTTTTGTATAGGAATGGCAAAACGGTGGTTCTCATTGTCTGGTCCCTGGAAAAAAACGTTGTCAGGTTCCCTACGGATTACCGTCGGCAGGTCTCCTGAAGATTATTTTTATTATAGCAAAATATCCTCGGATGATTCTCTTGTTTCTTTAGAGCAAAATTAGGGCAGGTCTTTTTTATAGAAAAAATCAGGTCAGGCATTTTGAGAATTTATTTTTTCTATAGGAAAAAAATTGCCAGGTCTTAGAAGTCAAGTCCTCTGAGGATTATATTTTTCATAGAAAAAGGTCATGTCGAGACGATTTTTTTCTATAAAAAATCAGTCCGATTCTCCGAGAATTTTTTTTATAAAAAATTGTCAGGTGTGGGAAGGATTTTTTTTTTTTTTTTTGATTAAAAATCCTCAGGATTACCTTTTTTTACAGAAAATAATTCGCCAGAAGCAATGATGAGAACTATTTTTTTTTAATGTTCGCCAGATCTTCTGAAAGCCTCTTTCTTCTATAGAATGAAATCGTATCTCATTATTTCAGGACCTCTTTTTTATATACAGAAAAAATCTGTGAGAATAACCCTTTTTCACAGATTCTATTACAACCTATTTTCATATAGAAGGAAATACTTGGGCCCAGCTGAGGACTTCTATAACAAAAAAATCGTCGTGTCTCCTGAGGACAAGTTTAAAAAAGTCGACCCTTTTTCTAAACCCATACCCTTACTCATCACTTTTTCTATGGAAATATTGTCAGGACCCCTGAGAACCCATTTTTATAAGAAAAAAAAACATTTTCAGGTCCCCTGAAGAGAACAATATTGTACGAAATACGTAGGCCCTTCTATAAAAATAATAATTATAATAATAATCGTCAGTTCGTCATTTTTATGACTTGTACTAACAAAAAAAACTGCGGTAGTTTATATATAGTTCTGCGGATTTTTATTCCGAGCCTGGGCAATATTTCGTGATATTGGCATCCTCTCTGATTAAAGGTAAACAGCACCTCTTCCTCACACTGACATATTTTCCGAATATTACGAGTATTCAAAGTTATTGTCCAGATTCCCTTCACCGTGAGTTGTGTTGTGATGTTCGGCTTTCATTTGTGGTCTATATATCGACTCAAGTTTTCGGTCCACTTCATTCCAAAAATATTATCTGATCATCAGCGAAAATTATAGGCCTTGTCCTTGACCATAACTGGAACCTTATGGAACATTTCAAAGTGATCAGCGACCCCTGAGTGATAATGGGTTACCGGATACGGAGATACCAGTAAATATTTAGGTGTAACTCCCACATCCGAGCACATACAACAATACAACCACTCCTCTTTGATATAATATCAACTTCTCGGTCCCCGCTTTAGAATACAAATTTTGTCATTTTTCACACAAAAGTCAGGGTCCATTTGACCCGCTAAATATTGACCAATCTTTATCAAAACAGGCATGCTTATTCTTTGGCCCGATCCCATTCTCCATGCAAAATTTCACGATGTTCGGGACATTATTGCGGCCTCTGGAGCGACCAGAAAAACCGACAAAAAATTAGTATTTGGTCCATTTCAAAAATAATAATTATAATCCTACATGCAAAATTTCGTGAAGATTGGTCATAACTGTTCGTGTTTACATTTTTATGAAAAAAAAAAAAAAATAGCAGGCCCCCTACTCATAAATTTTTCTATGGAAAAAAGTCAGGATCCCATAGAATCACATTATGCTTTATAAAAAAAAACAACTGCAGGCTCCCCTGAAGAGAACACTATTTTACAATTTTTGTTTCTGAACAAAAAATCTGCGTCAGATTATTTGAGAATCTCCTTTTTTACATAAAAAAAACTCGTCAGGTCTGCTGAGGACCATTGTGAAAAAAAATTCTTATCGTTCTTTCCTTTTATCTCCCTCTGTCTCTCTCTTTTCCTTACAGGTGTTCCTTTTACCCGATCGTGGTACAAAATCCAAAAGACGCACGAAAACATTAGCCAGTACCTGTGAACCGCGTTGGGGTCAAACATTTATTTACAGTGGTTTGAGGCGTTGCGATTTAGCCGGCAGATATTTAGAGGTAATGTTTAAGCCATATAACACCAACAACGAAACAATCTGCTAAAGGCTAGCCAGAACTTTATTAAAATTTCGAAACTTTTTTTTTACTTTAAAATACTCGCCGCAACAACAACAAAATTGTATAGGTCACTCTATGGGATTACGTGCGTTACGGTGCTAATGACTTTATTGGCGAAGTGGTTATTGATTTGGCCCATCATTCATTGGATGATGAAGCGGATTGGTATAAATTACAACCACACCAGGATACCTCATATCTCGTATGTTCACAAACGACATAAATATTTTTTTTATTTGTAATTTTTCTTTTCGTTTTGGGTTTGATATTTATTTTTGAGTTTGGAAAACCTACTGTTTTTTTTTTTGGATACTTTGTGAAAATAAATGTTTTAGCGAACGTAATTGTTAACGAAAATATGAAAAGAAAAACAAACCAGAATGTAAATGTTAAGTGATTACAATAACAACAACAAAATAACACAGGGATTAGGAATTTTGTTATGGGTCCTTAGGGAGCCGTTGTCATTAAAAAAAAGTACTAATAAATTATTTTATTTTTCCGTTGTGGTATTCAACAAAAAATGCCTAAGGAATGCCACTGAGGCAAATTTTAAATTGTTTCCCATAAAAAATAAAGGAAAAATACAGTGGAACATGGTTATAATGAGAAGTGATATTTATGAAGACTTTTATTTTTCCTAAATATTATGTTTTGCCTTAAAAGCCTATTTCGGGTCACCCTGTCTATTATAACCCTTTTCGACTGTATTCAACAATTTCCTTCCTTGAAGATTTCAACACACCCTTTTTTAATGAGTTGGTTTTGAAGGGAAATAAATTTTACGAAAAAAAGAAAATATAAATTACGATTGTGAGAAAAAAATAGAAATATTAAAAATATATTTTTATGAACTAAATTCTTATTAAATTAACATATTTTTATTTTTACCACAAAAAATATTTTAAAATAATTTATCATTTCACACGCATTACAAAAAATATATACAAAATGAAAACCCTCCTTCCACCACAATAACAAAAATTAACATCTCATAATTTTGTTTTTTTTTCTATTCCCCTCATATCGCGTTTCATTTAATGTTTTTCTTTTTTTGTGTTTCAAATTTTCCCAATTACCCAAAAAAATCTCAATCTATAGTTACGCATTTATGATTCATCCCGTGATGTGGACATAGTGATATTGACACCCAGTGATCATTTGTCACCACCCAGTACAACATCGCGTCACAGCGATTCGGATACAATGTCTGAAATAGATTTACAGTCACAGCGAGATGGTGCCAGCATTTCATCGATGGGTAGTTCAGCAAGTACACCACCACCTGAGGTAACCAACAAAACAAAAAAAGTTTTATTACAAGAAAGAAAAACAGAAACTAACCAACAAACTAACTACTACCTCACAAACAAGTTCCAAAAAACAACAACTACTACTAGTACTACCTAACAACAACTCTAACTACTACGACCCCTTTATAATTTAACAAATAACAACTCTGTCTGCCTAACACTTGAACCACCCTGTGTGTAATATCTCTGCTCTCGCTGTCCTTCTCTTTTCGTTGTAAAAAAGAAATCCTTACAATTCTCTGGTATGCGAGTAATTGTTGTAAGAATTCTCCAAACCATATGTCTGTCTATCTCTCTAAAACACTATTGTTTCTCTCTCTCTCACTATTTGTCGTAGAAATGTATTCTCTTTTTTATAAAGAACAATTAACTCTTTTTGTAACGAATATTGAACTCTCAAAAATATAGATGTACAAAAAATATGTCTCAACATAGCCTACGTCTCAAAGTATTAGTAATTAACACACTTCTCACCAACTAATAATACCTATTAACCCATTTAGGACCAATACTACTATTTATTTACAATTATTTGTTTAGTATTTACAAATTTGTTTGTATGGAAATTTGTGAATTCTGTTGTAAAAAGAGTTGAAAAGAAAAACCAGTTTGATCTTCAAAAAAAAAATTAAGGCTTTGTGCATATATCAATCTTTTTTCTAAAACTTCTAAATGTGTGCGTGTGTCTGTGTGTTACATTTTACTAAAAATTGTTTTTTTTTTTATTTTCATAAAATCATATTAACATCTCCATCGTTGTCATTACATCCACTCATTGAAAATAACCTATTTTAAAGTGTAAAAAACAGCTGTAATCGGGTCCGCATTTGTAAACCTCTACCATAACATTTTATGCCTTCAGAATAGCCTACGGGTAATCTGCCATCTCCGAAACTAGTAGAAATTCGTTATGTTCGACCTTTTATGACGACTACTTACTTAGTTGGCTTGTGACAGCAAATTTGTTCCATAAGCCAAGCTTAAAAAAGATTTTCAGTCTCGTCGATCTTGTGCGCAGCTCTTCCAATTAAAAAAAATATATATTTCGAGATGTTCTCTTCGGCTTGATCTTTCCATAGGATTCGGGACCTTCCCCTTCTGTTGGCCAACACTATTCACCTCCGGATTTCAAAGCTGATGTTCTTACTTTTGTGTATGGCGGTATTGGGGTATATAACATCGTTCACTACCTGTGGTTTTCAAGTTCCACAGTTGTTTCGAGCTACTGGACGTCTTGCGCCTTGATACCTTCAGCTTGGTCTTCACACCATTTACTACCAGTCCCACTTTGGCAGACTCCTTCTCAATTCGTTCAAAGATGGCTGTTACCGCTCGCAATTTTCGACCCATTACGTGCTGTTTAGTGTACTGAGTGTCACTTCTGTTTACATCATTCTGTTTACATGACCTTTTCCAGCAGGATTTTAAAGAGGTCAAACAACAAACTTTTCTGAATTTTCGTTCGGCATGAAGGGCTCCGAGAGATCCTTTCCGACTTTAACTGCTGATCTTGTGCCAGTCAAAGTTACCCTGCATAGGCGTATTAATTTCGCAAGAATGCCGAACACTGACATGGCTTTAAACACTTCTGAGCGGATTCGGCTGTCGAATGCAGCTTTGAAGTCGGCGTGTGTCGATATGTTTTTCGTGGGTTTTTTCCGGATCTGGCGCCGAGTGAAAATCTGGTCAATGCTGGATTTGCCAGGCCTGAAGCCGCATTGATATGGTCCAATAATGTCATTGACCATTGGCTTCAGTCGTTCACACAGCACGCTGGATATCACTTTATATGGGCTGAGAAGGAGACTTATTCCTTTAGAGTTGGCACATATCGTCTTGTCTCCTTTTTTGTGCACGGGACACAGGATGCTGAGGTTCCAATCATTGTACATTCCTCTAGCCATTCCTCTTGCTGCCGCGAAGTCAATCATCCTCATGCTATTGTCGGATGTTTCTTTCATGTAGGCTGAAATTTTCAAACGGTGGGGCCAGAGATATTTTCCTTCCGATTTTTGCATTAAAATCTAGTAGAATTTTAATGTCATGGGCAGCTGTCATAAGCTGTTTCTAGGCACTCGTAAAATATGCCTTTAATCTGTGCATCTTTATTTTTCGTCGGAGCATAGGCGCAAATAAGACTGATGTAGAAGATTTTCGCTTTTATACGAATCGCTCATCTATTGGAGTAAATTTGAAGACGAGGTCTATTAGTCTCCTGTCAACCATAAATCCGCAGCAAAATTCATGTCTCGTTTCATGACAGCTATTATAGATCTGAGTTACTTACGCCTGTCCCTTTCCGTCTCATTTCCTGCTAGGAAATAATATCGCCTTGGACGGCTGCGCCTGTTCAGAATATCGCGCGCACGAGCAAGTGGTCCTTTATATGATTGCATTGGGGGTTTGGTTTTCTTCTTCGTTGCTTTTTCATAGTAGGAGGAGTTTTCGAGTGTGGGCATATAACCCAAATTCTCAACCTATTTTTATAGTTCTTATGGGTGAATTCGGGCACATATCAGCTCACTATTTCAATGGGCGATGAAAGTATCAGGTGACACTGCGGGGAGGTCAGTGCCCACTATTGAGATGAAAGAGGAACCAAGATATGCCTGGGCTTTGAGATTAGCCATCCACCGGAAACCAAAAATATATAGTCAGTTGAATAACTTATCTGAAAATTGTGAAAATGGCTACAGGTACTACACCAAAAGGTGGACTGATATTGATTATTTTTTGTATAAAGATTTTATAAACAATGAAACCCCAAAATATCAACTAAAATCAACGTGACCAAACAAATTAGGGGTTAAATAGATGCTGCCCCGAAACTTAGGTGATTATTTACAGTTTTTGGTAGGGAGACTTTCTTCGCAATAATTCAAAATACTACATTGCCGATAATTTAGTTTAAAAGGTTTGGTTTGGTTGGCAAAATTGGTCTAAAAAGCCAAAAAGACCCCTTCAGGGTTAACATATTAGGCGAAAATATTCCTTGCGTATCAGTAATATTGTCAAAGCCACCATATATTTAAAATGCAAGGGCTTCAAGAAATCCTCTCAGAATATTTTCAAATCGCTAGAAATGGGGAATACTGTCCTTCATTTTTAGGTTACCTCCGGAAGTAAACTTTCAAAATGCCGATAAACGTGTCTTCTATTTTTAGCCCCCCTACAGATTTTTTTTAAATTCCCCGAAAATTATTTTTTTTTGGTTGCACAGTGTAATTTAACCATGACTTATCTTAAAATCGAAATATCCTTGCAAATCGTTGAGTTATGATAATAAAATTGCCAAAATGGAAAACATATCCGAATAATCTCAACAAACCCTTTTGCTAAATTATACTATATTAGTCCAGACTTCCAATATATATGTCATGTACATATATCCATTTGATGTAATTTTTATATTCCAATAATTCTACGGGAAATGACGAAATGCGTTCGACTAGCTTTTGATTTTGTCGTATATTTTATACATCGGAATCTTATTTCATTGTTTTTAAGACAACAATTTTGAGTACAGTTTCATAGGATCATCCCAGAATGATATATGTTTAAACTCCAGGATATGTGTATCCATATAAATCAAGTTCGTAAATTCCGCACTTTATCATCCTTGCCATTCACCATTTATTCGTATCGTATCTTGTCATTATTCGTAAATGATATGTCCCGTTCATGATGTTTTCTAAGCCTGTTTCATTGTTTATATTGAGATCATTTCACCAGAATTTTACAAAAAATCATGAAAATTATCAAAAAAAAAACATTTCGTTTACATGTTAAATCATTTTTCTCTAATTAGATTGGAATTTTTCTTAAAATTTTGTTTTTATGTTAAATAAAAAATTTATTTGGTTGGTTTTTATTCCTAACGATCAATGTT